TTATGCAGTAAACATTTCTTTCTTCACATTGTCATAGGTTTTTCATTCTGCAAGGCTGCCAGAAAATGGTACTGCAGGGTGCCAATAACTTAATGTTTAACATTTTTTATGTTTCACTATAAAATTTAAAATGAAGAACCATGTTTCATTAATACATTTTGAGATGAGAGATCCTTATTCACTTGATAGAATAGGAACTATTGATCAAAATATCTACATGATTTAACATGAGACAAAAACCGTTCAAAGTTTCTTTCCGGGTACCGAAAACCGGGAGTTTTACCCTATTAAAAAACATGATTAAACAAAAAATAATCTTTTTTTTTAAGAAAAGCTGTCCCTTTAGAACAAAATAATCAAACATATAGTATATAGCTTATTTGATGTAAAAATGAAAATAGTAATAATTTATTCAATAAACTTAATAATAAATGCAGATACTAAGTTTTAAAATTATGATAATCTATATTATTGATCAAGTATATAAATGTGGCCATCCATGCAAAGTTTCTCCACCAATTTAATTATAGTGTTTGACAGTAACAGTGAAAAATTGTTGTAGGTAGTCTGTCCCAGACCAAACCTCTTCAAAATGAAATTGTAATCAGACTTGTGTATCAAAGAGATTGGTATGTAGTCACTATACTAGACATTAAAATGCAGAGAAAGAATGTTTCATTTTTTTTAAAAACAATGATTTAAAAACTTTCTTAACAATGAATATCAATAATATAACATACATTGAAAATCCAGGCACTCGTAAAAAATCGGCACATTGGTAACTACCTAAACCCTATTGACTAACCTATAAATAGAAAATAATTGAAATATAAACACTTATAATTTTCTTTACAATGATAGTAAAGATTTTGTAATATATTTGGTTCCTATTGCCAAAATAATTCTATTCTATTTGTTTAAGTTTTAAATTTTAAAAATTATGTGAGGTTGTGTGTATGTGGTTATCTTTTTGTTTATTTTATCTCTTTTAAAAGTATGAGGGTATCTTTAGTTCCAACATAAACGAGAATTTTTTAATGGTTCTATATTTTTAAATAATGTTTCCACTTGAAAGAATGAGCACTATTATATTTCTTTGTCCTTGAATAGGTTTTCTATTAAATAAATTAAAACCAGAATCAGTATTTTCCAAATTATTAAAATAGTGTTGATACAAAATATTTTCTAAGGGGTCAACCAATCTGAATTAATTTTGTTGCTTGACAGATTTGATTCTTATAATTTTTTAGCAGTTATATCCTATTTAATGGTGGGTTCAAAACTGTGGTTAATATTTTTTTAGAATTTAATTTAGCTGACACTTTTAGAATTTAATTTTTCACTAAAAATATGTTTTGGGAAAATGTCTGTAACTCCAATAATTTAGTATCAAACCAAAATAAAATTCAAAATCGTCGAAAATGCCTTTTGACAATTTGTATTTAAAAAAGGGCGATGTTTTCATGATTGAAATTTCTGGAACAAGTAGTATAGTGATGACAAGAAAAATTAAACTAAATGTGTGAATTTTTTCATCATTACAATTTTACAGGGTTAAAGGATATGTTTTAAGATAATTTATAATTTGTTGTATAGTTGTGAATTTAGTTGACCACTTTCATTACTAATTAAGGGATTTAATTTGAGAGAAAAAAGTGTAAAGCAAAACGCCAACATAATTTTATTTTTTGTTTCGTTTTGATATCAGCAAAAATACTTGAGTTAGAGTAGAAAAAATATGCTGAGAGCGACTCTCATCAGGCATCAATATTTGATATTTGTTGTAACTAATATTTGCATAGCTAATAGAACCAGGTGAGTCTCAGTGGTCAAATTCATGCCATACATTCCTACAATAAAGACGTATAAATAGTACCAGTTTCATAATTTTTCAAACAATCCCTTTTGTGATATTCAAATTCATAAATTGCAAATTCTGAAAATTTATTTTACCCAATTAGTTTCTCAGCATTCCCTTCTTCTGGCACCATCCCCTCTACCATCTATTTCACAAGTAACCCTCGACGTTGGAAAGCTCGCACAACATGTAAATCTGATTGTTTTTATGTTTTAGTTGAGACAACATCGCCTAAATGACGAAGTAATACCTTTTCATGTCAATTTTTCTTCATTGCAGTGGTGAACTAATTGAACAGGAATTCACTTATTTGTTCTACAGATATAGTGGCTTTTTTCTTACTTACTGTTTGGTTATCATTGATAAATCTTTAAAAAAAATTATATGATGAATCTGTTATCTTCCCTATACCTTGAATTTCCTAACCAGAGCAGCATTATAAAAGTTAAAAATAATTTTGAATGGAGCAAGACCTATGTGTTGAATTCCCTAACCAGAACGGCATTATAAAAGGTAAAAATGATTTTGAGTGGAGCAAGACCCTCACCAAGTGCAATAAAAGTTCCCCAGTCAACATTGTTTATGGTTCTAGACAAAAATGTAGAGATGTGTAAGAACCAATTGATTATTTCAAACAGTTTTTCATTGAGGTTCATTTTATAACTTATCTTTATTTTGTTTATAATATTACATAAAATAAATAATTTGTTCATTAGCATGAAACAATATTTTGGGTACTAGTTCACAAGAGTTCCGCACGGATTACGCATGGTTCACAATCACTTCGGTCACACTTGCTCATGGAGTGCCGAATGCGTTCGGGTTTATCCGAAAGAGAATGAAGGCGACCGATCTCTTGAATCAGTTACTGTTAACTTTCCCACCATTTAAGTACTTCTATAACCTTAACCATGTTCAGTTAGTTATATAGCAGGAGCAGACTTACATTCGAATACACATACACATCATGAAACCTGAATCGAACTTCTACATATATTGTAGATCTGTGAAAAATAATTAGTAATAGATAAAAACCTTTAATTATTACATCTCTGAATGCTATCTCACGATATTATTTTTCTTATTGATGATTTCCATTATTCATTATCTCAGAATTATCAGATATACATTCGTCAATTGTTTCCCCAACATGTTAAATCCTTTCTCGAAAATAAACGAATGACTACAATAATCCCCATTTTCGGATTACCAAGAAAAATAACTGCGAATTAACAGTTAACTAACTGGCAGATCTACGATGTCATGTTGGGATTGGACATTTTTGGAATAAATATTTATCTATATAACGATTGATAGATACATTTTATTTATTAATATTGTACACTTTTCTCGTGCAATATTTAATCTGACATTATTTTCATAAAAAGCGTCCTTGACAACTTAATTGTGGACTCTTATATCTAAGAAATCCAAAAAAAATCAACGAACAATTCTAAATTCGACAGTATATTTATAAAAAAATTCGATGACTAGAAAATAGTGGATCCGTATATCTAAGAATTCAAAAAAGTAACATAAACTTGATGCTCAATCTCAAATTGGACAATACACACATACAAAGCGCCCCCCACTAGAAAATAGTGGGCCCTTGTATTATTAGAAATCCAAGTTACATAAACTAGATAGACGAATGCGCAATTCTAAAAAAGGCTTGGTAAAATAAATTATAAATTCAATTATTCCAACTTCCATTGAAAAACTCAATAACAAATAAAATAAATAACTTCAGATTATTTATTATCCAAATGATAAAAAAATCTTTTATACACAGTTATAAAAAATAACATACAATATAAGCGTATTTACAGCCACTACATGTAAGTTATTTCTATATAAAAATGTTATTTCTAAAAGTATTTTTTTTTAACAGGCCTTGAAGAAACGACTCAAACATTATTTTATATATTTTTTTCTTTTTCTTTCATAGTAATAACCGTTATAATAAAAATTAATAATTAACAAATTAGTAAATACATGATTCGTTAATAAATTGTTAATAAGGAAGTTCCATGAAGGGAATACTTTTATTTTCTCTTTAAAATGCATGAAAAGGGATTGTGTGATGGGGCAATAGCTGACATCATAAAAGACGACAATATTTGGCTGTTTTCGGGATTCCATGAGCAAGTGTGATCGGAGTGATTGTGAACTACGCTTAATCCGTGCGGAACTCTTGTGAACTAGTATCATATTTTGTTTCCAAACCTCTATATAAAAAGTTCTTTTCTGAATGCGTTTCGGCAAACTGATTTCTATACTTTTATTAATTATGTTGTTACGGTTATTTTTGTCATTGGTTCAATTGGTTTAACTAAATATATCATAAAATAGTTAATGAACAATTCTGTAAGAATTATAGGTCAGGAGAACCACAAAATCCTTCTTCTTTGAATTTGAATTGAATTGAATCAATTTGATGAAGAGATGCCTTTAATTTATTTCACAATAGCGATACCTTTGCCCAGCTAAAAAAAGGTAAAAGATTTTTCAGAATAAAATTTTTACAGCATTTATCAAACATATAGATCTAAATAAGAAAAAAAAAATCAAAGGTGAGTCCCTGTTTTCATTATTACAATTTTAAAGTCTCATTTTATGGTAATTTTCATGATTTTTTTAAACAACTTTTCTTCCTTCTTAGGTTATGTATTGTTAGACACAAATGTAAGGAAAATCATCATCATCATTACTTAAGTTTTTATTTCGGTTTGATTTTTACAAAATTACCAGAGTTGAAGGCATTTTCCCTAAACATGTTTTCAGTCGAAAATAAATTCAAAATGCCCACATAAAAACAAGTATAGGTATTAAAAATTTTGTAGCCATAGTTTTTCAGTCATAGAATAAAAAATTACAAAAGTAAAAAAATGTTGCATAATATAGTCAGGATGATTTCAAATGGATTGTTCCTGAGGGATTTTAATAAACTCTAAACTTGATAATTCTTTTTATTTTTCAACATGTATATTTTTGAAGAAAAAAAAAACTGATAAGGAACCTTTTTGGACAAAATTTTCATATTTCCATGAAGAGAGGAATATATGAAAATCCTCTAATAATTTCTAAAATCACACCAAAAACAAAAACATAAATTACGCCTATTAAATCCAAATTAACATACCCCAACTTTTCTAAGTAGATCCCCAACAATATTCATTGCTGAAATCCTGTTCGGCTGGTTCAAGAGGCAATTAGTAGAATTGATATCTGAAAATCAGTTTAAAAAATTAATAACTTATAAAATGGACATATCCATGGAAAAATAAAATGGATAAGGCAGGAAATCTATACCAAGATGATTAACAGAGGTAAAAGGTATAGAAAAAAAATGAGAAAATGTTTGCTTTTAAATGCTACTATTAGAAAGTAATTGATTAGTAACATTGTGCTACTTTGTACAACATATACACCAACTCTATTATTTATTTTAAAACATCTATTAGTTATTTTCTGTCATTTCAAGAAAATATAAACATCAACTTAAGTAAAATACACAAGAGAAGGCACCTTTTTTTTTGTATTTTTTTAAAAGTTCATCATACTTCACTTAAATTAAGTTTAAAATTTAATTGCTAAAATGGCTTACTAGGGACAGTTTCTTTCAAAACCACCAAATCACTTGAAGAAGGCCTGACAGCCAAAACATAAAACAAGGTAAAGTGACATACTACTCAACACAAATACCAGATCTGTTTATCAGTTTTACGAATCTAGGAATCAGGACCATTTTTGATAATTTAAGATACCTCCAAATATAGGTCATTTCTTAAAGCAACAGCTTCAGAATAACTAAGATTATTTGACTTACAATGGCATACGCTTTTGTGATTCACATTCAATCCCCTTCCTAAAATGAGTAAATGGCCCTGACTCCATAAAATAGGAGCTAACAACCATTTCATTTTCGAAATTATTATTCTGTGTTAAAAAAACAGATAAAATCTACTACAAATTTCATAAATAGCTTTTTGATATAATAACAATGGGTGAGGAGTTAGAGCAACTTGACTGCTTCCTTATTTCACAAGAAATAGTTGTTTTCATCGGTTATTTCTCCAGAATAATCTATACATCCCTCAAATGAAATTCAATAAGATCCATTTGAAAGAATTAAATTTCCATTTATACCTCATATAGATAAGATAATATGTGAGAAGGTAAACGGCTGCTACAGCGCATGGAACTTAAGGCATATTTCAGTCACAGAATCTGCCACACTAAAGTTAGGCACTTTTTATCTTTTCTATTTTTTTGATTCAGCTAATTCAACTATATTTATAACAACTGTAATGTACTCAAAAATTTAATATGCATAAACTATTATATATTCTGTTGGCATGACATCCATAACAATAATAAAAAAATTAAAGTTATAGTCGACTTGCTTTAACTCTTCACCAGTTGGTTCTACATCAAAAACCCATTAATAAAATTTTTAATAGATTTTATCTTCTTTAACTTTACATAGAATAATTATTTCGTAATAAAATGCATAGTTTCAGGGTCCTCACCAAAAAACTCTCTTATAGGAACACATTTCTTATATGATATCAAAATTTCAGGTATCACTTATTCCATTAAATTTTGCCAAAATCAGTCTTTTAAATAACAAATATAATATTTTAAAGGAAGAATTTTATAAGATGATTAGGATTTTTTATTTTAGTAAACTAAACTTTTTAATAATTTGTTTGTATCACTTTTATTTTATTTTCATAAACTGAGAGGAGGTAAAAGCTGATGCTTGGCATACAAAGCTCTGATTTTCTCTATTATAAAATAAAGTGAGCAATGGGGAAGATTATGATATTAATGTAGTTTCTCAGTAGTAATTTATTTTCTCATTACTATTAACAGCATAATAATTATCCATGTGACAACATCTATGCACTTTGTGGTTAATAAATGCTATTTTAAGGAGCACCACCGGTCAAACGAATGAGTGCTTGCCAGCCAGATCTTAACCCAGATGTATATATTATAAACAGTAAATAGTATTGGTATGTTTTTCTTTTAAAAAAAAAACACGGTTTCAAGTCTATTTTCCTTAAATTTCATTCATTACCCACCCTAACTTGTGATTTCAATATAATGACTAGTGCTGTTATTGACAGTCAAAGGTGGATGGATATAGCAACTGTGCTCATTTATACCAACAAAGTTTGTCCCTTCAACATCATTATAAACGATATGCACTGCATATTTATTTCCAATTTGAAAAAAAAAACATTGACGTACTAAAAAAATTCCCTAACTTTAACAATTTTTCCCTGACTTCTCCCTATATTGAAAATTCTCTGACTTTTCCCATTTTTCCAGGTCAGTGCTACCCTGATATACCACAATTAATACATATTTCAGCTAAAAGAAAAAGTAAAATAATGTTTTTAAAAATAGATAAAAACAAACCAAAAACACTTACTCTTGGTTGGAGTATTATTGAGACAATTTGAGTTAACAATCAAATCACTAGATTCCATCTTGTTTGAATCTACAATTAAAGATTTATCATTAGTAGTTTGTTTCTCTCTCACCTGTATCTCCTGTTTTAAATCTGAAATCAACAAATTAATTAATTATACTACAATGATGAAACACTAACTCATAATCAAACTTACAGCTGTTTTTACAGGTTTATTTTCCTGAATATTTTGAAGTTGTTAGTAAAACCATTCATTCATAAGACCCTGCCTTAAGAATTGCCAATTATCTAAAATTCACATGAGTAATGGCCTGATCCCCTTTTATAGACCTCATAGAAGTTAAAGAAAACTTGACAGTTAATAACTCATTCATTTAGAACAGTACTAAAATAAACTACAATATTAACACACATATTATTCTAAATCACCCCCTGCCATCCCTCCTCACCATGTCAACATCCCTGAATATAATATATGAACTGTAAACTGGACTTGAATGCTGAAGATTAGACAAAACAGAAGTAACATGTGTCTGACAAGCATGCACTTCATTATCGCCATCTTTAAAAACAATTATCTTTCATGCAGTTCCAAAATACCAAGATTGATAATTTTGAAAAATAATGCATGATTTTTACTTGGCCTAAATGAAAATAAAAAATATACAAGCTATTAATCAAATAATGTTAAAGAAACTAAAATCATTTGAAACTGCCACATTATCACCCTGAAATAACCATTTTTCAAAAATATAATTATCTCTAATTATTTATTATGATTACTAGAGATTTGAATAGTAATTAATACAACACTTCATCACAGAATTTCATAAAAAAATTGCAGACATATAGCAGTAAAAAAGCAAAAAAAAACTACACAAAATCCTAATAAGTAAGTCTAACGCTGAGTTTTGAGACTTAAAAAATAATTGATTTACTTCTTATTACTGACATTTAAGATTATATATATATATATATATATATATATATATATATATATATATATATATTTATACAGGGCATAATTGCATGGCACTATTTTAAGTATGTGTTCACCAAATTAAACAAAAAAGTTCATATTAACATATACCTCAAACTCATTTAATTAACAGATATCAAAGGTTAAAGATTTATTATTTATTTACTACATTAACTGACTGCACTAAGTTTAATGTGTTTAATACTAAATAACAGGTTTTAATTAATCACCTGGTAAACAAATGAACGATAAGCAATGACAGTAGTTGCTCATCTATTTGTCTAGTTCTGTGTGTTTTAGTGTGATTGAATACTGTGACACAGTTCAATTTATGATTACCATGGGAGACAACAAAAATTTATCCACTTTTGCAGAACAAACAGACATGATTTTAACATATGGTGAGGTACATGAAAACGGTGCTGCTGCTGTTGAAATATCGTGAAAAATTTCCTAACCGAAGAATACCAAATCTAAAACGTTTGAGGCCATTGAAAGACGCCTTAGGGATAATGGCACGCTAAAACCTATACGAGTAAACGCCAGTCGACAAAGATTTCGATCTATTCGATCGACAAAAATTGTATCTATTACACGTATGGAGTAGGCAAGATTTGTTACCACAACAAGTGCAGAAATTTCTCCCAGTGGTTAATTCAACAATGCACACGAGATCTTAACTTCCTGAACTGCATTTTGATTACAGATGAATCTTGCTTTGCAAGAAACATGATTTTTAATTTTCGAAATACCCATACTTGGGCTGAAGAAAACCCTTATACGACTGCTGTTGGACATTACCAACATACCTTTTTTTTAAATGTCTGGTATGGTCTTGTAGGCGACATCATCGGCCCCTTCTTTTTTGCCACCTAGGCTGTCAGGTATATCTTACTTGCATTTTTTGCAAAATAATCTTCATGAACTCCTAGAAGATATTCTGCTAGGCATTAGGCAAAGGCTGAAGTTCATGCATATTGGTGCTCCAGCTCACTTTTCTAATAGTGTACTGATTATTTAAATGCAACTTATGGAGACCGATGGATTGGACGAAATGGACCTGTTAAATGGCCACCATGATCTCCGGATTTAATGCCATTAGATTATTTTTTGTGAGGCTGGATGAAGTCAATGGTTTATTCTGCAGCAGTTGGCACGCAAGAAGACCATGCCGCAGTAACTATCAAGTACCATCCTGATCCTATACGAAGAGCCAGAGAAATGGATTCGTCGTGCTGAATGTTGCATTCAACAAAACGGAGGCCCCTTTGAACAGTTACTCTAAATGTTGTAATAATAACATACAAAATAAAATAAAAATCTTTTACTTTTATTTGAGTGTTCTGCCAGAGTGCAACCCCCGACGAATTTCCCAACCATAAATTTTTAAATATCTTGGTTTTAAATTACAACACTTAATAACGAAAATATGATGTAAAATAAAAATATTTCTTACCTCTTGCTTCATCTTTTAGCCTCTGAACCATTGTTTTTAATGATTCTTTTTCATCAAGTTCTGATTCCAAGAGAACATTACGTTCTAGGGCGTAATTAAGTTTCGTTTCGAACTCACCCAATGAGGTATACATTGCCCTGAAAAACAATATAAAACATCCCTGAATTATTATTTTATTTAAAATTTTCAAACTTTATATATGAAATAAAAAGTATTGAATCATAAAACCTAAGTTTTCAATGGATATATGTCTTTTGAAGTTCTCTGAGTCTAAATACCTAAATAAATAAGTTTCAAAAGCATGTGTATGCATATCCATTTGTGAATGGCCTAGGTCAAAAAATAAAAAGTCGTATGAAACTGAAATTAACAATTGAATGTAAGTATATGCCTAGGATGTTACAGTAACTTTTGCGTTAAAATCAACTAACCAGAGGGTAGCTCACACTTTGTACTAGTTTTACATGTTTTTATTTTTCTCAAAAATGTCTAACAATTATAATTAAATTCATTACATCAATGTTAAATTAAATCATATTTAATATCAAGGAGATATAATTGGAATAACCCAACAGGGCTCAAATTGCGACTTTTTAAAATTTCTTCCTCCAAAGTACCTTAGGTAATGTTTATTTGAAATATTTGCCCATTTAACATCATAACTAATAATACAAAACAATTAAAAATAAACTATGAAAGAATTTGAAAATTAACTAAGGAATAATTAAGGGTAAGGTGAGACTGAAAACCAATGAAGCAAGCAACCTTCAGGATCATAAACAATAACTTTTTAACATGTCACAAATTAAAGTATTTTGGCAACATAACAGATGACAATGTTGTGAAAGCTAAAACACAACAACCAATAACTGTTGGAAACATATGCTCCTAGGAAGTTTAGAAAACTATGAAATTTCAGAGATTCTCACACAGAGCTTAACTGACAATTTACAATATTATAATATATCCTCTTGGGCAGTGAGACATGGCTCACATGAATGACTCCTGACATGCTGGGCTAGTAAGATTTTACATGAAATCTTAGGTCCCATTAGCATGACAAGACTTGTCCAGGTCAGACTGACCTCGTAGCATAGAATTCTTTTAGACAACCTCAGCCAATAGCTGGGTCATGTACAGACTGCATTAGAGGAATGGCTAAAAGGATGTTAATAAGGACCTGAACCATCTTCGTATTCAAAGATGAAGGAACTATGCTCGCAAAGGAAAGGAATACACAAACTGATGTTAAGAAAACCCAGGTTCTCTAAGGAACTTAGTGCCTAATAATAATAGTTAAAATGCAGAGAATAATAGTCTCATAAGACTCATTACATCCTCAGTTCATTCTCTTTCCATCCATAATTAAATAAATCTTGTATGCAAATATACAAATACCAGTCCTTCTTATTTAGCTTTCTTTTCAGAGGCTATTATAGATTTAATATCTTTACATTAATATGCAAACCTATGACATTGCTTATATTATTTCTATAATTACTATTAGTTTATAATGTTTGTTTATACTATTGCTATTATCAAGATCCACTTTTCCACTGAGACCATTCTAAAATAAATTCAGACATACCTCTGAGATCTCTCAAGATCATCATTTTTTTGTTCCAGTTCTCGAATATACTTAACATATTCCTCCTCCCTCTTGTGTCGCTGATTTGCTTCTTCTTCCATCTCTGAGATCTGTGTCTCAGTTGCTCTTTGTAGAACATCATACTTGTCCTTAAAAATAAAATATTCAAATAATTACAAACAAAACAAAGAACTAGCAAAAGCATAAAAAAATATAATTAAAATTTGTTTAAATAAATATGCAATCAAAATACAAAAAATTTGAAAAAACATAACAGAATAGGGTGATATTGATTCCAAGATAGAGCTCACAAGAATAAACAGAGAAAAAACCGATAAACCCTTTGCACAAAAAACTTCTGTTTTGTTTGATAAGGAAGATGAAAAGTCTTATACACATTTTTAATTGACCTTACATTAGTGATTATGAAATCCTTCTTTTCTTAAATTAATAAATAAAATTAGAAGGATTTAGACTGATTTATATTTATCTTTAATATCTTTAAGGTAGAACATATTTGCCACATCACACCATCTTTGTTTAATTAATATGACTGAGAAAGACCATAACTTCGGAAGCCGTAATAACTGAAATGTTTCTATAGTTAAATTAATTAATATTTTAAATTCATAAAACTAATTTCACTTTTGATAATTGTGAAAAAATCATTTCAGAAACTACTTTCCAAGTATGGGTCAAACACAGCCGTTTTTAAACTATTGGCATGTCAAATAATACATTTACTTATCTGAAAGTGGGAGTATTGTTTTTAGAGTAGTGGATAGAATTTGATAAAATGGATATTCACTAAATTATCTGTTAACCAATCCCTAACTTCCCTCCAAATTTGAGCCAAATCAAACGTGTTATTTAAGAAACAGATTTGGAAAACAGGTTTGTGCATATACAAGAGAAAGTAAAAGATGGAATTCAATAAAATCGATACAGAATCATTATTTTACTAAAACTCACCTTACTATCAACTTAGAGCCAAATCGAATGAGCCATTTAAGAAATATTGGCATATCTAAGAAAATACATATACACGTGCGCAAGCGAAAGTGATAGATAGAATTTAATAAAATTGACATGGGAACATCTAAGCACTATTGCTACTATTTTTTGCACAATCCCTAAAAATTTCATGAATATCACATGAACGATAGTAGGTGATAAACTCGTCACATCGATTTGACTACAGACAGATAGACACTGATCAAAATTTGATCCTTGATGTCTGAAACATAAAACGCAAGCAGAAATATTCAATTCTGAGCACAAAGTTTTTTTTTCACCTCTCACACGAATACAAAACTTCCCTACCTTCGGTATTAATGGAGTAAGTTAACAAGAAATATAAATAAACAATCAATTATCTAGGTATTATTTCGATAGGACTTAAATAGAAATATTAGCCAATACCAATACTCCAAAAATCGATGTATCGGCCTTTTTTATCTGTCAAGGTTGATTGGTCAGGGTTCACTTGAAATGTTTTCCTTACCCTTTGCTGAATGCAAACATCAAACATGAGATATCATTCCACATTCGTGGGTAGCACAAGATCTCATAATCACAACATAAATGAATTAATTAAAAGAAAATGTCCTAGTGTGTTCAAAACGACCAAACCGGCTAGAAGGGCACTGACCTCAACTGAAAAGGACCCATTGCATGTTTTTTTATAGCATTAGGGCAAGTATAAAGAGTAGAGGTTGGAAGCAATATAATACAGCTAATTAATGCCTCAATTTTAAATGAAAAGTAGCAATAGAGAGTTTGGTGCAGTCATAAACCACAATCCAAATAAAGGGAGGTTATACTGTAAACACTCAATCCTCCACTATTCTCATAATCCCATTTATACTGTCATCACAAGATCTTAGACACATTTCTCATAATCCCATTTATACTGTCATCACAAGATCTTAGACCATTCGGCAAAGTGGTGTGATATTTATAGTGGTTACTCTTTTTTATCTCACTAAACAATAGTCTCAGTCCCACAGAGCTGTATTAAAGTAAATTCTATGCACTTACATTTACAGCTGAAAAATAGAGAATTGACTAAAATTATAAGTTCCTCACTTTCAAAATGCTCGATACGTTTTCATACATTACTCACTAATATTTTTAATACAAATATTCCGATATTATGAGGATTAAAACAAATATTCTTTCTTTTTAAAGTTTTGATTATGTAGATATAAAAAAATCTTTGATTAGGCATAAAAGCATGTATAATAATTAATGGGTGATATATACAACAGTAGACTAACATCCTTCAATAATTTATAAAATTAATCGATAATTTCTAATGAATTAAGCTCTTGATAAAGACCTCCAGAAAAGATCTTGGGTATAGCAAAATTACAAAACTTGTTTTAGTGAAAAATTTCAGAGATCAATTTCAATGAACAGTTGCAAAAGAGTCCATTTTAGAGCAAAATTGATTAAAAATAAACAAATAGGATTTTCTATTTGAAATCAGCTATCTAAGATCGGCATAGGACTGTTCAGAATTTAGTTCTTCCTTGAGCAGAAAAAAAATTAGGATATATCCATCAAACAGACGTCTTTATCAGTATGGATTATTCAATCAATATTATAAACCAAACAATGATGTTTGTATAAATTTTGGAAGCTGAATAGTTTTATATTAAACAATACTTCTATAATAGAAGGAAAATAAGATACTGAAAAAACCTCACAGCAATATAAGAAGGAATAGTAAATTTAAAACTACAAAAATTTAAAAATAAGTAAACCTAACAAAAAATCTTAGAAGTATTTCAATTCAAATTAATATTTATCACCAAAATTTACTAAATTAATAACCTAATTTATCAGATAAACATAAATTTCACCACAGTGATTTTTATAAGAATATAACAAATGAGAGTATTACCTTCATAGCTTCATTTTCTAGTTGTAAACTGTTGTTTTTCAACCTCAATTCTCTTATAGTTCTTTCAGCTTGTTCAAGAGATGCCTCTAATTCTTTTTCCAACATTTGAGAACTCTCTCTGAAATCTTCGAATTCCCTTTCGAATTCTTCAGCTTTATTCCGCCAAAATGAAACATCCTCAATACTTTTGGGATCTGCCATTTAACAAAACACTACAAAAGAAAACAATCTTCTACAATACTGTCCTTCAAATCAACAGGGATGATTTCTTAATCTTCATAGATTAAGGTAAAATCGCAGTACAATATCAAAAACTAAAAATGGTGTAAAACTTCTGCAAAAACACAAACTGTTTAAAAAAAAATAATACTGAATTAAGTTTGAAAACTTAAAAAACGATCAACTAAAAAACGATATTGAAAACAACAGTAGATAAAATAAATAGCATCAAAATCAATAAACTACAGTATGATCACCTACCTATTTCTTGTTTACACAATATCTAAAAAGAACATTTAAATACACAGAATAAAAACAACCTAAAACGAATTCTGTTCCCAATATGTCGGAATTGCAATCTGACAGTTGTGGAGGAGTTTCCCTGACTCAGTTAATCGATATAACTGGCCCTGTGTACAAATAAATTATAATTACATTTAAAACAATGAAATTCATTTACATGCTTTAAACATGAAAATTAGTCCATTCCTTTATGTTTTAAATATTCTGCTTTTCAACCTAAATCTAACAATAGCAACTATAAATTTTGATTACTTCTTCACCCCACCCCCTATAAATATTTTCAATAATGTAATATTAACATATGTGTACATTTAAACTACTGACCCATTCAAAGTATAATTTTTAAAAAAAGTATTATTAAAAAAGTAACGTAAAATCACTAATTTACCGATTAAAGCACTTATAATTTTAATTAAATTCAACGGAAGCATTGTGACTGTTCAGTACAATTCCTTTCATCTGTTGATGACTTCATTATTTTCTAATTAATTTGGCAATAAACGTTGCGGTTTAAAGTGTCGGGTTAATATTTTCTGGTATTAATCAAGCTTTATTATAATTAATAGTATAAAATTTTCAATTCCAGGTGGTTTTATTAAAATTTGATATAAATGTTTAGTGATAACATTTAATAAAATTAATATTTTATTATTTTCAATTTTGGTAATATTAATTGAATTTTACCAAATGTTATATGCAGTTGTTTACTGTTCTATTTCCGTTGATAAACTCTTCAACCCTGTCTAGACTATTATTATATCAATTTATTCACGTATTTGGGGTTTTAGAACGATTCAATCCCATCTTGGAGATTACAAACTATTTTAGAAGATGACCAGTGTGGAAAAAATGTGTAATTCTATTTATTGTCTGATTGAATTATTAAATGAAACAACGAACTTTTATTTTAATAAAGATGCGTTAAGAAATTAAAGAATGAATAAACTGACTTTATAGGAGGAATCTGACCTAACAGTTGATGTTATATATTTTTAAAAAATGGTGTATATATATTAGGCAAGTTATAATTAATAATATAATCGATTTTAAAACTTCCTCCTAATTTGAACTCAAGATGGTAATAAAATATTTGCGGGAATTAGTAGTACTACACCAAATTAATCGGTACTCAGTGGACGCAAAATTTGATTTTCTTCAACTTTGATTCTATGCGGTTTTCCTCTTATGGAAATCAATTCCAAATTGCAGGGCCATTTATAGTAATTTATCTCGGTTTTTGACAAATTTGGTAAAAATCAGCGTTGGTTGACCTCCTCGTAACCAAGTCATGTAGTCGTTCGACGCACAATTTAAATTTCTTTCATTTATTAAATAGTAAATTTTTCGGTGAAAAAACAAAAATATGTCGAAATCTTACTTTTTTGGCTGTAAAAAGTTTTCCCTTGGTGGCCCGCGTAAGCTATTTTGTTTTTTACATCTCTAAACCCATATTTACAATTTAAAAACATAGAAATTTTTCTCAATGGATTTCCCGTTCCGATCCTCAAATCACTGGCCTAATATTCTTTAAATCAGCCGCCATTTTTTAAAGCAGTGGCTCTGGAATGTCAAACAAAGTTCTTTTTATTCAGAATAACATACATTTTCGTAATTTACAATCCACAATTTACAATTTACAAACCTTCGCCAGCGATGAGGTCGATTTTTCGGCCCTGGCTCCAGGGCTACTAGTCTCTACCTCAATATTTCCAAGCGTGGTCTCGGCTAGCTCTTCTTGAAGATGTTCCTAATTTGCCCACTGCTGGGAACATTAAATAACAGCCTTTCGCGCTGAACAAATTAGAGGAAGGAAACCCCGAATAATAAACGAGTCATGATATGTAAGGAGGAAGTTTTGAAGGTCACGGTGCAGCGGGACAGATTTCCAGTAATCACATGTATTAGGTATGAGCTATCGGATTCATAGATATCGTCATCATGCGACCACTGTACAGTCTACAGAATGAATTTTAGTTCTGTCAGAAGGAATACAATGAGCTTGCCCAGAAAATTATAGAGCTTGACAATTTTATTCAACTAAGACATAAAGTCCATGGGGAAATAAGAAGGCATATTTGCAAAATCCAGCAATACCTAAATGGTAATGCACCTGTTTGTGCAAAGATAGTGTCCAGCTGTCTCGTTGCGGCGAATGTTGGGGGCAGATCAGAAGATCTAAGATGAAATTTAGTCCGTACGAGCTTTCGATACGACTGCGCCATTCCAGCACAGATAGCCAGAGACAACAGTTCCTCCGAGGGCGCCCTCAGGTAAAATAGATGTTTTTACCAGCATAAAAATGGGTAGCAGTTTTTGCACAATTCATATAACCTACCACTAAATTAAAATACAATCCACTGCATAAATAAGTTGAATGTTACCAATAATTTCAATGTTGCCTATTTTGAATTCATGAGAGTTATTTGCCTTGCCTTAATTAAAATTTCGAAAGTTGTCTAAACAACACATGTTAAAAAGTCAATCAACAAAAATCAAGTTAGTAATGCAAATAACGATTAAAGCAGAGCAATAGTTTTAAAAGATAATGTACAAGTCATTCATTCAATATCAAAGCGAATACTTCAAATCGAATAGGAGGCGATTGATGAAAACAAAGTGCTGTGGGTTTATATTATTTTTAAAAATTATGTACAACAATAAATGCATAAAAACAATATAATTATTGTAAAATGAACAATATAATACTGTATCTTTATTTAAAATAAATGGCACTAGGAGAAGGTGTCGCTGGATACTGATCCCCTAATGTCTCTCATTTCATTCAGGAATTCTATCGTCATCAATTTCACTGGTTTAGCAAGTGTGAATAAAGATTATTGCGTCTTTCAGGTTGTCCTGGATAGAAGAACATGATATAAGGTGAGAAACACACGAATGAGAGAAACAATTAGTAAACTGACTGGATCAAAAGATAACATACTAAGCATCAGTAAAGAACGTTCCCAGCAGCTTTAATAGCTAGCCTTTGATAAGAGGAAAACCAGAAGGCATTCACAGGAGATTAATATTCTGGATGCGTAAGTAAATAGTTGCCATCATAAAAGAAAGCCTGAGAGATGGAAAACCTTCAGAGTTGTTTAAATAAAGAAGCAAAGGAGTGCTGAAAGTTTGTGAAAACCACTGAGGTAAAGCTCTCATTTTGGGTCCAATAGCTGCACTAAGAAAATATATAAGGCGACCACCTTGCACGATTCAGATAGATGGAGTAAATATCAGATCTTTGAAAAACGACAGGAACAGGCTCGGCATGTACATGGCTTATTTTTCGGTTTACAGCAGATAATGATTCCGTGAAGATACCTTTTTTTTTTTGGAAGAATATGACTGATTTAAGAGTTAAAGAAGCTGTTCATATGAGTTTCCCACCTCTCCAAATATACGAGCTGAGTGATATAAAAACATTGCTAAAAGACAGAGTACGGAAAACTTGTGAGTCCTACCAGTCTCCGCTTACCATAAAGCACATAATAGAATATTGTACATTACCGTATCAAGCCTTTACAAAAAAAAAAAAAAAATATATCCCGTTATAGAGAACTAGCATTAAAATACTCAGTTGATTCAATACAAAATATTAGAAAGCTCTTAAAAGAAACACAATTGTATCATAAAATATAAGAATTAATGCAATACATGAAAAGCAACAATAAATTACTTATTAAAATATATATATTGAAAATAACTGCTTATATGTGTGTAACATTGTAGCAACATCCAAATATAATTGTGAATTTATACATTCATGAAGATAAATTAAAAATAACACCATAGCCCAAGAACGTAATAAAAAAATTGTTGATCGCCGAAGACAATTCGTAAACTCGTTTAGAGTTCACAGGGAATGATGTTATTGAGGAAGACATGCACAAATTATCCTAAATCCCGAATCCTAATAGAAGAAGTCTTCGAAATTTGAAAAGGTGCACATGAAAGATGAGTGAATCTTAAAATCCTAGGATGTGTTGCTATATTATTTTTTAATATACAGGTACTAGTATAAGTACTGGTAAGGGAGGAGGAGTCTCGGGCTTTTTGCCAATCTCTGACGGCTACCTTTTGGTTAACTCAGGTACTTTCCATAATGGTAAGGACAAGATTCATTTCTTGAAGCCGTCGAGAAATAAATATTAACTCATTCATGTGAAAACTCACAACATTCAGAACCGGTTGTCTGGGCTCGGCCATAAGCCTATATCTTTGGAGATAAATGAAAAATTATAGTTCCTTTCGCTTTATATCTTCTTCTTCAAAATATATAGTTCCTAGTAGGTGGAAAAAACATAAGAACTATAAAATATATAGTTCCTAATAGGTGGAAAAGATATCTATGCTACCTAATATAAATAGAGTTGATAGTATTTTTTATAATCTTCAATTTTATATAAAAATTGTTTTGCCGTAAATTCAATAATTTAAAGAAAGAAACTAAGAAAGTATAATTTTTTATTTGTTTTATATGAAAAATGTGGATTTGATAGATGATAGGAAATAAGGAATCAGATTCAAGACCTCAAAAAATATACAGGACGGCTCAGAAAAAAATTGACTGGACAAAGATTTGTAGAGCTTCAGTTAATTGTTCACTGGAAAATAAATGTTGTCTAGGTTGTTATCAGATCAAAATGAATTTTGTCAGAATACGATAATACATTTTTATATGGAGTTCTTAATTTTACGAAATAACATAAATGGAATAAAAACACAATTAGTTTTTACAAGTTAATTTACTCTTCCCCCCCCCGCTCTTCCTCCTCTGTAGGAAGTTTTTCCTATGCATATAACAACATTTTATTTTTTTGATACTTTAACGAAATTAAAATAATATTATATGAAAAGGAAAATGAAAATAATGATTGAGGTTTTCAGGATAGCATACGAAATATGGGTTTTAACCATTTTAACTAATAATATTTTTTTTAAGTAGAACATTTACAATTTTTTTAGAAGTATGTAAAACCATTGTAATTATATGTGTCAGAGCATTAAAATTAGTTAAGAAAATATTTATCTCGATAATTACTTATATTCTATTAATTTCTACATGGAAACCGTTTTTGGTTAAACTTTTGCTAGCATTGATTAACAGCTGTTCGGTGAAGAAGGTGCATCCGTGGAAACAGAGGCACCAAGCAGTTGTGGTTTTTTAGTAATGTCACACATTAAAAATATTGTAAGTATTTACCTAATTTTATTAATAAATTAAATACTAACTTGTTGGATCAGTTACAAATCGTTTATTTCTTTGTTTGATGGAACATAAGATGCAGCCTAACCTTCCTAAACATTCTCTTATTGCTTTGTCATTATTTATTATTTTTTTTACAGTTAATAATTTATATTAATATTTCAATCTACTATTTAGTCTAATTAAGGGTACTTCTAAAAGAGGTGGCATATTACTCTATAATTATTTTATAGGTGTTAAGAATTCAATCTCCTGAAGGAACCAGAAGAATAAACATTGGCTCTGATGACAAGATATCTGGGCTTTATGAGAAGGTATTACCTTTTAGAATTTTTTTTTAAATTTATGTTAACCATCAATTGAACTTAAATTGCATTCTTTATTCCATTTAAGGTGCGGGATGCTTTTTCGCTGTCTAGTCTTGCGTTCAGTTTATGCAGAAGTCGTAACCTGAAAGAAGAGCTACCTTCTACTAAATCAAAAACTATTTTAAGCATTGGTTTAAAACATGGAGATATGTTATTTCTTATTCCCCATGAAGGTGCAGATCTATGGCATGCCAATAATCAAGTTGATGTACCCATAAGTACTCCTGGCACAAGTTCTTCCTCCACATCAGATAGTACTCCATCTGGTATGTATCGATTTTAAAATGTTGTCTTAGTGCAGAATATTAAGTTGATACTTCCCTGTTAACGATAAGTTAAAATTTTTCGATCATACTCTCATTCTTCTATTTAGATTACCCTATATTCTTATATTTAGTATTGACAACTTTTAAAGTAATTTTTCTCCTTGAATAGTACATTTAAAGTTTGAATTCAACTTCCATGACCATTCAGTTCCTTTCTCTTGTAAATTACCATAATTTTTTCAACAATTCTTTTTTATTGTTAACTATTTTGTGTATTTCCTGTCTTGTTCAGATTATGGTTTGGAGTTGATTGTTTTTGTTTCATCCTGTTTGATTGTGGTTTGTTTGATTGAAATTCTATTTCTATTTTGATAATAGTAATATAATTCATTGCAAGATTGTTATTGACATTCCAGAGTTTTTATTTTAATCAAAATTAATTGTATGTTTGATTATAATTAGCTATTTGTGAAGGTATATCCAATATTTTGAGTTTATTTTGTATTACTATGTATCCAGTGAACCTTTTTCAAGTTTTTAGGTGATGAAAGTGTTTAGTGAACTTGATGAGGTACTAATTCTAAAATGCTATTACAATGTTGTTGCTGGACACAAGATCATATCAGTCACACTGCAGATGGAACCTTAGAAATGCTGAAATCTACCAATAATTGACTATTTTGTTCTCATACTATGACAGGCATGTCCTCTCATTTATGGAATACTTAGGCTATGTTATATTACTCACAGTTTAAGGAGGGGTTTATTGGGATATGCAAACTCCCAGTCTATTTCTAGTTTGACCCTATCTGATGAATCTTGTCAAATTAATATGTTATGAATTACATTAATAGTCAACCATTACTTCTAATTTCCAGTATAGAATATTTTAAAACTGATCCACATTCACATATAATAGTTTGTTCATGGTTTCGAGTAGAGCTTTATCTTCAGCATCTCTTTAAAATCAGGGCTATTTTAAAAGAAAAGAAAAATAGCTCTTCATATGTGGTTTAAGTGATAAAATTTAATTGTGTCAGTATTTCTAACCTAGTCGATTTTGTTCGAACACTGCTGCTTACGTTGTTTCTGTTTGGTGATTCAATGGAAAGCTAAATAGAACATATGTTTCAAGAAAAGAGAATATTTTATGGTATTATTAAATATTCCAATTGAGATTTCCAGACCAAAACTATGACATAAAAAGTATTACAAGGATAGAGAAAAAGGAGATGCTATTAACAGATGGGTAGAACATTTTAGTACTATATGCAGTGCAAAAGCTTAGGAAATCGAGTCTGACACGAAAATTGTATTGCGCCTTTAGATATGGAGGTTTTCTTGGAGTCCATTGAAAAGTTAATAAAGTACCTGGGTAGGACTTCCTTGTGGCAGAATTTTTCTAATACTGTGAAGAGATCATGCGAAATCCTTAATGTCTTGGATTTATTACAAAAAGTCTTTGAGTGGCATTTCATGAAATTAAATCACTTAGTTTTTTGATTAATTTTTTCTGTGTGAAATCAGAACATAGTGCATTATACATGAAAATAATATTTTGATGTATAATTGAGTTTCTATAATTTTTACTCACTGTGTTTTTAATAAACTTAAATAAAGTCAACATAGACATACTTTTCTAGGCTTAAAGTATAGCTCCATCCATTATATTGACAGCCACACTGCAATACCCTGTAAGGACAATTTCTTTGGAAAATGAGATTTTGACCTTCTCTATTCAATCTTGTCCTGGCGCGTATTCTGATCCTACAAAATCAAATCTATTATGTTTCATTTCTTCATAATGGGCTTAAAAAAAAAAAGGCACTTAAAACCAGCAAAATGTGATGTATAGCTTTTAGTAGACAATCCAAACCAAAGCAAAACGAGGGTTTTGAGGGCTGAGGGCTCAGTTGGGTAAAAAAAGTATATGTTTTTTTCTCAAAATATAATAAATGACTACCATAGAAGCTTGGAAAGCTCAGATAGACATGACATCTAGTCAGAATATTTGATGATCTACCTACAAAGAAAATTATGATCAAGCCCCTTTATAGCAATTGTAGAATTGCAAGACTGAAGCTGAAGCGGATTGTATAGCCCATGATACTTGAAAACATTTGAAGTGCGAAACTGGTGGTTGTAGTGCTATTGAAAAAGAAGAAGAACACATAATAAGAATACCCGGTAATAGAGTGCATGGTTCTATAATTGGGTTTATTTGTATGAATTTTCAATTTTCTGTGAAGATTAGGTCACTATAATAAAAACGGAAAAAAGCCCTGAATTTCAACAGATAATTAGTGGTAAAGTATAGTGGTGGGGACAAAGCTACACCACCAGAATGGAGATTTGCTACATTATGAGGTGTGGATGTCTATCTTATACTGTTTCCAACTTTAAAACTTCCTACCAAGAAATATCTTTTTCTCTCTCACCCTATCCTCTTTGAATATAATTGAAAGTATTAAGTTAACATTGGCAGCCATCACACTAACGTGGACTTCACAGTTCCAAGACTTGTTACAATTTTTTTTGTTAAATATGGAGTTGTTTTTTTTTTTTAGTGCAATCTCAGTCCTGTATACATTATTTATCATCAATTTCTATTTCTATTGCCCAAATTGATGTTTTTTCCCCCATCCAATTACTCAGTTTACAATAAAAGAGCTGGCTGACCATGGTATTACTTTGTTAACAATTTGAAGGCATTAGGCATCACTGGATGGAGTCAGAGGACCAGAGATAAAGAGGAATGACCCCTTATTGTTGAGGAAGCCAGGCCCACCCTGGGCTAAAGTGCTCCATTGGATTGGTATAACTGTTTACTTAATTGTAGCTTCATTTATCCAGTATTTTTTTTTTTTTTTTTTTTTGGGTCATTCCCTTCCTCGCCGTTAAGGCTATACGGGATTTTCCCGGGCCAGGGAGTGTGGGTGGGGATTTAAAAGACTCCCCCGGCACCGGGACGCGAACTCGTGACTATTTTTATATCTTTGATTCATATGTGAGGTTGCCGGGCAACGGCGGTGCAGTGCACACGCTTTAGCCCATTCGGCCACCCCGCCCACACATTTATCCAGTAGTATCCAACATATCAATTAAATGATAAAATTAAGCATCTAAAAAAGAATTATAAAGGAAAATGGTATGTGAAAATCATTCTTATAACCACTTTAGATAAAAGTGATGTAAAAAAAAGTGAATTATTTTTAAAATTAGGTCATTCATACATGTCATTTTTCGTTTATCATACATGATACCATATTCTTGAAAATCATCAAATCTTACTTTACAACCGAAATAGTTCAGTTTTAGTGCTCATTCTATTCTGTATACACATAAGGTTTTTAATTTATATGGTGTTTCTCTATTTCTGAGTTATGTAATTTGTGTCTGACGGTGGTAGATAATTCATGTCTGCTGGAAATGAATTTGTTTTTGTTGTTTATTAATGATTTTTTTTTAAATTTTTTTAAAGGTGAAACTAATGGTTTACGAGAAACTCCGAATCCTACATCATTGCCTCCAGTTGCAGAAGATGAAGTTGATCAAATTTTATCTAGTGTCGAAGGAAAATTGCATAGAAAACGGGATGAGAAGTTGTAAGTTTTAAAAGATTTGAAGATGGTTAAACTATTTCATTGTTGTCTTTTCACTCCTGCCACAAATGGTTATACACTTCTATTAGATATGGATTATGTAAATTTTTAGTAATGAAGATACAGTTGCCTGTTGAGGAATCAACATCACTGGCGGATCTACTGAGGAGGGGGGCTTTTGGGCTGAAGCTCTCCCTCCAAAATGGTAAAATATAACCATGTTTTATAGAAAAAATTATCTCTAAAAGTATCATTGTTCGTATAATTATATTTAATAGGACTTCAAGAATCACTTAAACACTATTTCATATAGATATTTAGTTTATTTATTTTTTTGCTTCCTCACTACCGAAGGTAGGGAAGCATTATATTTGTGCCAGAGGTTAAAAAAAATGTGCTCAGAATCGAAAATTTTCACTCGCGTTTTACGTTTCAGACATCAAGGATCAAATTTGGTTCGGTGTCTGTCTGTCTGTCTGTAGTCAAATCGATGTAACGGACATATCATCTACTACCGTTGGATTTCGTGTAATTTTCAGTAAGTTTAAAGTAATTTTTACTCTGAATTTGTAAACAAAAAAACCCTCATATTTGTGATTGTGTTTATTTTCATTGAAGTTCAATCAGTTTGTCTTGGTCTCGATTTCCTCCTTAAATATTGAAGTTATGTGAACTTCACCAATATTTTTATATTCAAGCTTAATTAGTTTTGTTCTCACTGAAGAAAAGTATCGGTCTCGTTAGCTCCGAACAAATAACAAGTTGAATTTTTCCTATGGATTTTCTACTGCCATCAATTTTAGCAACTGAAAACGTGAAATTATTGACATCCATCTAAAATTTAAATATATCGTTACCTACAACTTATTTATCTATGAAAATTCTCATAATATAGGGCATATTCATCCATCATATGGAGATCATGTCAATTTAATGAAACACTTTTTTTTTTTTTTTTTTTTTTTTTTTAATTCTTTATTGAGATATATTACAATCTGCCACATCTAAGCACTAGCGGATTCAGGATCTAATTTTGGGGGGAGGGCTTCAGCCCGAAAGCTTTTTTTTTTCATAAAAATAACAGTAATTACTTTGGAAAAAAGAAAGAAACTAGCTACCTATATGAAATGGTGTTTAAGTGATTCTTAAAGTCCTTTTAAATTTATTATACGAATAATAATACTTTAAGATATAATTTTTTCCATAAAACATGATTATATTTTAACATTGTTTTGGGAGGGAGGGAGGGGAAGAGGCTTCAGCCCGAAAGCTTCCCTCCCTCCTCCCCTCTCCCGTAGATCCACCTGTGCATCTAAGGACAATAGTAATAATGATGGAAGAGTAGCTCATTCACACTATGTACAATAAATGAACAGCAAAACAATAGTACTAAAAGTAAATGTATATAAACTAAAAGAAACTAAACTAAACAAAATAATTGCTTAATGAAGTATTATAAACTCAAGAACATCAATTTTTTTCCATTTGAATCTAAAGATAGTTTGATCATAAAATCGAGAAAAACAGATGATCTGCAAAAATATTGAGCCATTTGACATGTCCTCTTAAAATAAAAAATGTTTATATATTTATGTTATGGTATAATATTTTTTCAACTTTATTTTTTATATCTAATTTGGTTAATGACTATAACATTTTATATTCTTCCACTTTGTTTAGACATTGTTGTAATATTAACATTTATTTATTTAAAATGAAAATATTTTATAAGAGGCTAATTTTTAAAAATAATATCTTTAAAAATATCTATTATTATTTTATTGACTGTTTTAACAATTTATTATTGGTTTTTAATATCATTAAAACAAAGAAAATTTGAATTGAAACAAAAAATGATATAATTTGTTTTTTAAATGTTTCAAGTGTTAATGAAACAAATTCAAACTCCTATTGCTTATTATATCCCTTGAACATTGCAATTTCATGATGTTTGAAGCAATTAAACAGTAAAACTGGAAGTTTAATTCCGTTAAGTTTTTCCCTTAAATATTTCCGTAACCATTGGTTTTATTAAAGTAATATATTGAGCAATGTTTATTGAGATTTTGAAGTACTTTAATTTTTAATAGAATAATATTGGCGTCAAACCTCATAGTTGTTGAAATATTCACTTAAAACTGAAAAACAAAATCAGTTACTTGCTTTTTTTCCAAAACTAAAGTTAAACGACCCAGGATTCTCCAGAAATTTTTACGTGTTATGGGAAGGATCAGGAACAATTTTTTACTAATTTTAGCTTCTTTTTTTTGCCTGCTTGGACTACTCTCTAATTTACTGGAATATTTAATAGTTGACCGTTGCATTATAAAGGAAGGAGATGGTCCGGGTGGCAGTCATAAATAGGCTAAATAGTTTTAATACTATTTAGCCTATTTATGACTGCCACCCCGGACCATCTCCTTCCTTTACTGTAATATGTATGCAGAATTTTTTTAAATTTAGAATATGACCATTTCAAATTGTAGGCCATGCATAGTATTAAGTTCTGTGTTTTATTTTAAAAGAAACAAATGTTAATCAGTAAAGTACACATTCTGAAAATGACAAGTTTAAGGAGGAAGTTTAAAAAAACGGCCCATGAAATTTAAAGACCACTATGACCATTTTATTGTACTTATCTTTTTATTAACCAGTAATGTGAAAATCAGATGGATCCCCATAAATTTTCATAACCTTGTTATTTTGACATGTTGGGGTTGCAGATCATGCAAAACAGCCAAATATTTTTGTATGACTTTTTTATTGTCTTTGTTATCAACCTATCTTAAGATTCAAATGGATTTTCATGAGATTTTAGTACTTCAATAAATTGACATTTTCACTGATATTCATATTGAAACCCCCCTATAACTGTTAATTACATGAAGCCAATCATTAAGTTTTATATCACTTCTCTATGCAGACTACTTAGTTATCTGGGCTACTAGCAGCCACATGAAAGCTATTCAGTGCTGCTTAAATACTGCATTAGTATCATTGCTTAAATAGGCAGTGGACAACCAGTTTGAGGTTAATACTCTCAAAACTGATTACCAAATCTTTAACCTCTTGACTAAAAGACACAATGTAGAAATTATGTATAATAGTGAGAAGCTGCCTCAGATCGATTCTGCAACATACTTGGGTATAAAGTTAGATTGCAAACTTAGTTGGAAGAACCATTTGGATAAATTAATTGAACTAGAAGAAGGCGGATTAAACTTGCTAAGAAGACTGGCAGGAATCATAGGGTGCTCACGAAGAATTATTAGCCCTGGCTTACAAGTCATGCATAAGACCAGCAGTGGAATGTGGAAGTGAGTTGTTATTGATTGCATCAGAAAACTCACTGTATGCCTTGGATGTGGTGCAAAACAAGTCTTTGAGACTGATTACAGGGGCAGCAAAATCCACACCAATTGCAGCTCTCCAGATACAAGTGGGCGGGTTTAGAACCACTTCAAGCAACAAGAGAAGGGGCAGCAGCTATCAGTCTTATAGAGAGAATGAAAAGACTTGGTTTGAAGTACTGGGCTGCTCAAGAAACATCTGTCCAGCGCCTCAAGACGCAAAAACCACTAACAATAAAGCTTAGGGAACTGTTAAAAGGAAAATAAATAGATTTGTTGCAGATGCACTGCTAGATCTAACGCAACCTATAAGGAAACACCTTGTTCCTGAATGGGAATTGAAAGCGCTTGTTATGTAAACAATAAATAGCCGCTGTTAAGGCAACTTTCCAAATTTTAAATTAAGGCAAGGCAAATGACTCTCAAGAGTTCATACTATACAATGTTCAAATTATTGGCCACATTTTACTTATTTATGCAGTGGATTGTATTTTAATGGATTGGTAAGTTATACGAATTGTGCAAAAACAGCTTACTATTTTTATGCCGGCTTAAGATATTTGTTACCGGAGGGCTCTCAAGTGCAGGTGTTGTCTCCGTGGATACTTGTGCTGGAATAGGCTGAGTGAACTGGCAGCTTATATACGGATTAAATGTTATCTTTTAGATCTTCTGATCTGCCCCCACCACTGTCTTCGCACAATAAGACTGACCGTTTTAAACTGGACATTACTGCCATTCAAGAAGTCCGATGGACCGGCCAATGCATACTGGAGAAGAGAAACTACTCAGTATTTTACAGCGCCATTGAACAACACCATAGCTTCGGGGTTGGATTTGCTGTCAGAAAACGCTACAGAAACCTAGTAATCGGTTTTAAAGCAATTAGTCCTCAAATCGTCCTATTAAGAATCCGGGGTAAATTAAGAAATATTGCCATGCTCTTTCAGAAGACCCTGATGAAGAAAAGAAAGATGCCTTCTATGAACAGTTGGAAGGAATCCTTGGACACATGTTCAGGATATGATATGAAGGTCATCACTGGGGACCTTAATGCAAAAATAGGAAAGAAAGAAAGTTATATTCTCACAATCGGTAAACATAGTCTTCACAACCAATGCAACGATAATGGGTGGCATCTGGTGAATTTCGCAGCAGCGAAGAATCTTGCTATTGCAAGTACTATGTTCTCTCTCTCTAAATCATTCACAAAGGGGCTTGGGCATCGCCAGGGCCTGGTTGGTTAACCAGATTGACCACATTCTTGTTAGTAGAAGATGTATCAGCTCCATACTAAATGTATTTGTTTTTAGAAGTGCTAACATCGACTCTGACAACTTTACTAGCATCACCACAGTCATCAGTAGAATAAACAATGCTTACCGTGGACAAGCACAGCCTGGGCAGTGCTATGATATGAAGAAAATAAAAGATCCAGATGTCCAACAAAGATATGTATCAACACTAGACCAGAAGCTCATAGAGAACCACATAAGAGAAGACATGAACGAGGAATGGAAATGCTCTACTGTTATTGCACAAATAGCTGAGGAAGTTCTGGGAACAACTGGAGGAGAAGCTCGAGCACTATGGTTCGACGATGAGTGTAAATCTGCCACAGATGCAAAGAATGTGGCATATCAGGTGATGATCAACAGAAGGGCACGACATGCTGCAGAATAATATAAGAGAAAGAGAAGAGTGGAGAAGAGACTCCACCATATAAAGAAGAGGCAACACAAGCATGCTGAACTAGCAGAAATGGAGCAGTTTAGGACAGATAAAGATGCTCGAAAGTTTTACCAGGTAGCCAACAGAAGTTGAAAGCCTTTCAAGCAGATCCCCTTTATGTGTCAAAACAATAGTGGAGTCCTTCTTACAGATGCTGAATCCTGTGAGGCGGTATGGAAGAGGTTCTTCTAAGACCTGTTAAATGGAGATGGTGAAGTACATGGACACTCTACTAATATACCACTAAAAGGAGATTTAGAGCCTCCTGATGATGAGGAAGTCGTTCAGGCAATTGATCGACTCAAAAACAATAAAACCCCAGGTATTGATGGCCTACCAGCCGAATTATTCAAGCAAGGAGCGATCGAACTTGTCAGATCCTTTCACAATATCATCCTGATTGTGTGGACTGAAGGGAGCATGTCTGAGAAATGGAAGAATACCCTAATATGCCCTACACATAAGAAGGGGGATATGCTTAAGTGTGGTAACTTCTAGAGGAATATCCCTCCTCCCATGTGACTATAAAATACTATTGAATATACTCTTCCAGCGCCTCCTCCCATACGCTGATGGAGAAATTGGACAGTACCAATGTGGATTCATGTGTGGAAAGTCAACAATAAACCAGATTTTCAGTTTTCAGGGAATTTCGGAAAAAGATATAGAATATGGATTCAAGACGCATAATTTTTTTGTTGATTTGAAGTCCGCGTATGATAGCATTGACCGGAATGAACTTTACAATTCTATCATAGAACTTAATGTTCCTCCTAAATCTGTTCGGTTGGTAAGGATGAGCATGACGGGCATCGAATACTTTGTTGAAGTCCAAAGAAAGTAATGGGGAGGTTTCTCGACTGTAAGAGGATTGAGGCAAGGAGATGTTTTGGTATGTCTCCATTTGAAAAAAGCTGTCAGAGAATCAAGAATTCAAACAATAGGTACTATTTTCATCAGAACAGTTTAGCTCCTACCATATGCTGATGATACAGATATAGTTGGCAGATCGTATCAGACTGTATCCCAAGCATTCCTGGCTCTTGAGCCTGTGGCAAGACGTCTCGGTCTAATTGTCAACCAAGACTAAACACAGTATATGGCATCTGATCAGCCCCCTCCCTTCCCTCGACAGATCGGTATCAAAGTTGCATTTGGTCCCTGCATGTTTGAACAAGTGTCAGAATGCACATATCTTGGTATACAAGTGAAATGCGACAATAATATCTCAGCGGAGACGCAGAGAAGAATGATCTCAGCGAATCGCTGTTATTATGGACTCCGCTCCCACCTATCGAGCAAACTTGTCTCGCAATGCACCATGGTTATTTTCTACAAAACCCCATCCGCCCTGTTTTGATTTATAGTTCATAGACCTGGACTACCACTAAGGCAGATGAATGAAACCTCCTTGCTTTTGAGAGAAAAATCCTTGGCTGAATTTATGGACCCACCTGTGAGAACGGACAATGGAGAAGGCGTAGAAATAGAGAAATCTATATGCTCTATAATGAGCCTGATTTAGTCGCCCGTGTAATGTAATGTAGTCGGAATATCAAAGCTGAAAGATTAAGGTGGGCGGGACACCTCGTACGGATGCCAGAGATATCAATCCCGAAGAAAATAATAACGGAGCAGCAGTTTGGCAGGGGCAGAGGTGGGAGACCCAGGTTGCGGTGGTAGGACTGTGTTGCAGGTGACATAAGGTTCATTGGAGTTAGAAATTGGATGGCAGCAGCACAGAATAGGGCCGTATGGCGATTGCTGCTTAGGAAGCTAAAATCCACTTGTGGGTTGTTGAGCTGAATTAATCATTAGTTTATTAACTGTTAAATTGTTGATCTGATAATTTATTTTAATAATTGCTTTGGTTTATTCTGGAAAATCATTAAATAATATTTTAGAAAATTTGATGAATTTTTGCATCTGTGGAAGAAAAAGTTGTGTTGTACTCTTAGTGTAGCTTCTCATGATGATGGTCAGTGAAAATTGTGTGATGCGTACACCAGATTTTTATCAAATCGCATAGAAAGATAATTGTGTAGAAGACTTAAGCAAATTAACCAGTAATAATTTTTCGAATAATAATAAAGTTCTTCCTTAATGACTTGTAAGCTGAAATGGAAATAAACAATAAGCTGAACTTGAAAATTATAATTTTTTATTTGAAATAAATTTTTATCATATAAGTGTAATAAAATAATTGGAAAATGATTGTATTTCATTTTTAAGACTTTTTTTTTTATAATTAGATGTCACCATGGGACAAATGCATGCTGTGTACATTGCTCTCCAATTGAACCATATGATGAAGCATACCTCCGTGAACAGAACATTAAGCATTTGTCTTTTCATTCCTATCTCCGCAAACTGAGAGGAGGTGCTGATAGGTAAGGAGATTTATGAAATTATGAATATTGTAAATTTTTAAATAAATTTTAAGTCTTTTTAAAGACTAATATTAATGGTTGTATTGTCTTCATTTTATTTAAGTGTAAAATGTAATGGAACAAACATACAAGCTGTTCATACTATATTCTTTTATTACTTTCACTTAACTATAAATGAAATATTATAGGAAAGTATTGTGTTAGTGAAAAAAATTGAGTCCAAGTTTACTACCAAAATGTATATGTTTTATATTTGAAATGAAAACTTCTTTAGGCGCGTTTTGCAGTTTTTTGTGGAGAGTGAATTAGATTGATCCATCAGATTTTAACGGCTATATTCGACTAATTGAAATGATTTTACATATGGTTTAGAGTATCTCAGAAAAAAAAATCGGGCCTGCATACTGTATGCGAGGAAATTGTTCAGCCTTTCATCCTCTCTGTAATAAGCTATTGGTATTCAAAACCTATAATTGTATCATAACGCAATGCCGAAAAGGAAAAAATGATAACGAGGCTAGTTGAATATATGGATTAAAATATTTCAGATACTAAAAATCGGATCTGTATACTGTACAAGAGGGAAATAATCAGTATTTTGTCTTCTTGAGCTATTATTCAAAATTGTATCTTAACCCAACACTGTGTTACAGAGTAGGAGGGGAAAAAAGGTAGTGTCCAAAACCAAGTGATGAACGAGTTTATGCTAATATATAGTACAAATATTATTAAAACATTGAAATATTATTTTGACAACATTATTAACAATATATAAAAATAAGAAGAGAAATAATATAAATGGTAATAATAGCAGAAATTCTTAGGTTTAATGGAAAATATATAATAACATAACCATAACCTCCCATATGGAGATTTCCACATATTATAAAGTCATATTATACTTTATATTATAAAGTCATTGGATTCAACATAAACTAGTAAATATCACTAATTTAAATAAGTAAATTATAAATCATTAAGGACATTTTTAGATTGACCTTGCTTTGATGTCTATATTTTATGCAATATAACTTTGTTATTAACTTTAAAAATTTCATATTAAACGATATTAAACTAATTAATCCTACCTACAATACCCCTAGAATACATGAATTATTGAAGTTATATAAAAGTGGTGCTCCACTTAGTCCTTAGTCCTATCTCTAGAAATATCAATAGGGAAACTGAAAAATTTGTCTAAATGTCTCAATTCCCACACTCAATAACCTAAAATCAGACAGTGACAATGATGTAAAAAACTTGATGGAGGTGGATCAAATCTTTGAAAAAGTAAATAAAATAGACAATATTTAAATATTGTTTGGTCTGTTTTGATGTAGAAAATTATTAAGAATATATACTGGAAAGATGTAATAAAAATAATTGAAAAATATTGGGATAAAATAGAGCCGCATACCTAAATTAAAGGGTTTTATGGAAGATATGGATTGAAATATCTCAGAAGCCAAAAATCGGACTTGCTTACTGTATTGAGCTATTATTTATAATTTATATTTCATATTATTAATCTCATCTTGTTGCTGTTTTCACTTCTATTGTGTGGTCTAAAGCACACACCTTAGTTTTTTTATTTAATTTTATGATACTGGGTTGTCCGGAATATAATGCAGGATTTTGAGTTTTCTTTATAATATCCTTCTATGTAACAAACTGTTCAAGTTTACTGGATTATTCATTTTTATCAATGTCAACACTATTAATCCTCTTTCAAACGATAATGTTTGTTAACTTCTCTGGCATTTCGCTGCTTAGAAATAATTCAGTCTTTACTAAGGTGTCAATGTGTAATTTTCGTATAATTTCGTTTTACAAGTTCAAAATCGTCTGTAATGGGGCCCAGATTGCCAGAAACATCAATCAAGTCTGGGGCGAGAGCAGTATTAATGAGTACACTATTAAACAGTGGCTCAAAATATTTCGAGACGGGGACTTCAAGCTTGAAGAAAAAGAAGGTTGTTGAAGGACTTCCTCTCTTGATGAAGATGTTCTGCAGGCTTTGGTGGAAGAAAACCGCTGAACAACTGTTCGAGAACTTGCAGGGAAACTTAACAAATCGACCATCAATGACATCCTCAAGGCTATTAGAAAGTTAAAAAACCTTCAAAAGCCATTAAAAAAAACAGCTTTAAGAAGTTTGTTCTACACTTCTTTGTCGAAACAAGAACGACCCTTTGGTGTCCAGAATTGTTACTTGTGGTAAAAATTGGATACTTTATGATAACAGTAGACATTCTGGACAGGGCTCGACAAAGGAGAAGCAGCAGAACATTTTCCAAAGCTCCCAACACATCAAAAGAAGGTGAGGTTACTGTTTGGTGGGCTTCATTTGATTTAAGACATTACAGCTTCTTAAATCCTGCAGAACCATCAATGCCGAATGGTATTGTAACCAAATTAATGCAATGCATCAGAAATTGGAAATAATGAAGCCATCTTTGGTCTATCGGAAGGGGCCCGTTTTGTTGCATTACACCTGACCACATGTCTCATATGTGACATCACAAAAACCGTAGGAGCTAGGATATGAAATTCGGCCACTTCCGCCCTACTCTCTGGACCTCACTCCTATCGATTTTCATTTTTTTTTATGGACCACTACTTACATGACATAAAATATGGGGGGAGGGAAAGGGAATTTGAATCTGCGTTTTTGGAGTTTATCAATTCTAAAGTTGGGAAATTCTATTCCGAGGGAATGGAAAAGTTGCCAACTTGTTGGCAGAAATGTATTGATAGTAGTGAAGATTATTTTGATTAAATAGAACAGTTGGAAATCTTTCCCTTTTTTTCTTATTAAACTAAAATCCTGCATTATTTTCTAGACAACCCAATATCTTCTTTTGAGAATGCAATGAATGGGGGTATCATTGGATTCAAAATTTCACGTAAGGAAATTGCACTCTCAGTATTTGATATTGTTTAAAATATTACATTATTATATTACATAAATAAAGTCTTCTAAACATCACACTAGACTTCAAAACTGGGACAGTAATATGTTGACAGCCCATGACAGGATTAAATAGATTTTACATATTTTGATGTCAACAGTAAGACCTAGTGTAGTTCCATCAGAACATGCTCTCTGTTGTAAAGCATTAAAACCTACCCTTTTCGAGATAATCCATAAATAAGGCCCCTTTGTTGCAGGAGACCATCATTATTGAACTTTATCATAAGAAACTTGTCATAAGTCTGTTAGGTTTCTATAAATATATAGATGAGGATGTTATATATTATCTTCTTTTTCTGACAGTAAAACCCTATTAAATATTATACATGGTGGGCCAGACCCCCTTACCGTGCACCCCCCCCACATCCCTATAAATTGCATATCGTTGTTTTCCTTGTAACAATTTATTAAAAAAAAGCCAATTTTCCCACAAAAAAAAGTGAACGCACTGCCCCAAAATGGCGTCCAAAGATGGCGGATTGACGACTTGACTTTAGTTAGTTTTTTGGTCACTGAGAATCAGCATTAAGCTTAATTTCCTCATAGTTGGTCTTTTATTAAAGCTGAATAGTTATAGAATAATAAAACATGAAGAAATATTAAAAAATAATTGGCTAAGGCTATGAAAAACACCAGTAAAGTCAATTTTTTTAACAAAAAAATTTTCAAGTTACAAATCAAACGTCGTTTGTAATTAAACGGCCTACAATAACGCAAAACGTGCTGAAATAAACCATCTGGAGAATATATTTCTCTTTCTGAAACGCTAATTATTTTTTACAAATGTTTAAGTAGTTCCGTAAAAAATGCACTTATGCGGCAGAAAAGCGGTACTGGCGTGGGTGCCTACAGGCCTCTACCACACCATTCAGTGCCCATAAATGGCTTAGTTATAGTGATATAATAACATTTTTGGTACATTATATTGGTTTTATTAACGAACAAATATTAATGCAATAATTTAATAGTAAAAAAAAAAAATTTTAATTTAAAAAAAAAATTTATTATTATTTTTTTAAATTTTAACCTCCTTTATTCTATACGTAGGTCGTTTAAGAATACCTCAATTGTAAAAATGGTATAATTATAATAATAAAACTTAATTAAAAAATATTTTGCTAAATATCTTGATTTAGCTACAAGTTACAAAAAGTCGGTTTGGGAGGGGGGGCGCTATCTCAAATCCGACAGTATTTTCATAAAAAGGCCCTCCGAAAACATAGTCGACCTTCATATCAATTAAATCTGAAAAGTTACAAAAAGTCGGTTCGGGGGAGGGGGCTATCTCAAATCTGACAGCATTTTCATAAAAAGGGCCCCTCAAAACATAATAGTCGACCCTCATATCAATTAAATCTGAAAAGTTACAAAAGTCGGTTCGAAGGGAGGATGGACGGCTCTATCTCAAATCCGACAGCATTTTCATAAAAAGGGCCCCCCAAAACATAATAGTCGACCCTCATATCAATTAAATCTGAAAAGTTACAAAAAGTCGGTTCTGGGAGAAGGGGGGCGCTATCTCAAATCTGACAGTTTTTTTCATAAAAAGGGCCCGTAATACATATAAATAGACCTAAATTTCGAAGAAATCCTAAAATTGCAAAAAAGATTATTCAAATCGTATTTTCATCTTAAATAATGAATACTAGATAACAGATAATGCATATTATTTGTAAATAACAAATAACAAATAATCATCTGTCCAAAGATCGTCGAATAAGAAATAACGAATAAAAATTTATCTATTATTCGTTATCTAGATAAAATTTCAAATAATTTATTTAAATAATGCCCAACACTGAATGGAAGTAAATATGATTCTTTGTTTCTAAAATGGAATGATCATAAAACGTAAACATAATGCTGTAAGGATGGTTGACCATGATATAATATGAGAAGGAGTTGGTCGGGGGATGCGGTCAAATAAATACCAAATTTTTAAAATACTATTTTATTCATTATGCTGACATTTCGACCTACTTTGTAGTTCTTCATTAGGGAGGGTTTGGTATTGGACACTGCAGGAAGCAGTTGGTAGACTGGCAATCGAAACATGTTTCATTTTTATTTCTATTTTTTGGAAGACTATATTAATGGAGGGGCCACAGGTATGAGGTTTCTATAGGTAGGTTACATGATTTGTTTAGAGTGTAAGAGGTTTCTGAGGTGTTGATTAAATTGGGTTTTAATGGAGTTAACTGTTATACCGATGGCTCCTTAATAGAGAAGGAATCAGGGGCTGGCATCTGGAGAAAGGATAAACTTAATGAAGGAATATTCATATCTCTAGGTAGATATACATCTGTCTATCAAGCAGAGATTTTAGCTATCGATTTCTGTGTCCAATCACTTATTAAGGGGGCCATTGTGAATAGATTGATAACAATATATACGAATAGTCAAGCGGCAATTGGGGCCCTGAATAGTTATGCAAGTCGCTCAAAGCTGTGTGGATGAATGTAAAGGCAATCTTTGTAGTACTAACAAGATGAGAGTAGAATGGGTTCCTGGGCACTCAGGCATTCCAGGAAATGAGAAACCCGATAACCTTGCTAGGAAAGGCTCTGCACAAGTGCCGGCTGCAACAGAGCCTATTTGCGGGATAAGCCTTGCCTCTATTTGTGTTGGCCTATTTGTGGGATAATTCTTTATTATCCTTACAGTGGTGAAAAATCGGATCACTATAACCGTATTCTAAGTCTGTAATAAGTTGTCTGGGATAAGTTTGGTAGAAGAATTTGGGATGGAAAATTTGGGCCTAAGCTTAAAATATTGAGGACATTGGAGGGAATATCTATGGATTAGGAGTTGCAGACCCAATTATCGTCTCCTTTTGGGCATATCTTATGAGTTAACGATTGCTTAAAATTTTCATTAAATTTAGTGATGAGAAATCTGTTTTTCTTAGAACTAGTGGAAATAATTTGTGATAGGTTAGTCATGTGTTCATCAGTCATAATGGTTTGTAAGAATTGACGTACAGACTTTTTGGCACACTGTTTTTCTTATGGGCTGCTAATGGCAATAAAGATAAGTTTAATGGACGGTCAGGGTAGGTACAACACTCGGAACGATACTCTGGAAATTCCAACAGGGAATATGTGTACACGATCGGCTTATGTTGAAGCAAGAAAAGGGGCAAGAGCTGTCAAATTTGAATAGTGACCTTTCCGGACCTGCCGATCAGTGTGTAATGTGTGAATATATTTGTTAATGTGTTAAGTTTTGAATATACAACAATGTATGAAGTTGATAGCGAAACTGAGTCTGTTTAGCAGGCTCTGGTAATCTGGATGATAGTGATTTTGATTTTCAAGTTTATTCACGACAGTACCGGCTCTTTCAGAAATTCCAATATTCTCACCTCCTCAGAATTTTTATTGGAGTGGAGGGAGGTAGGCGATGCCCAAAGAATATAATACTATATATAAAAATAAAATGGTATATATACTAAATTTTTTAAAAAATTATTTTTTTAATTAAATAAGAGTATTCATTAATAAGATTGTGTGAAAATATTTCCACATTAATAATACATTGTAACATAATTAACATAACATATTGCAAAAGGAAGAATATACTATATACAAAAATCAAATAAAATACATAGTAAATCTATTTTTTTTTTTTTTTTTAAATAAGAGTATTCATTAATAAGGTTGTGTGAAAATATTTCCATTCACTTCTGTAAATTTAAGCATATTCATTTTAATAAATGTGAAAATCACCGTATTCACTTTTACTAGTTTAAATACAAAGGCTCCGGAATTTATATTACGTACAAACATTACGAGTGATAATTAACATAACTTAATACGTTGCAACATAATTAACATAACGTATTGTAAAAGGAAGAATATAATATTATACATAAAAATAAAATGATATGTATTGTAAATTTTTTAAAAAAAAATTTAATAATTTTTTTTTTAATAAATAGGAGTATTTATGTATTTATTAATAAGGTTGTGTGACAATATTTCCATTCACTTCTGTAAATTTAAGCTTATTCATTTTAGTAAACGTGAATACTGCTGTATTCACTTTCACAGGTGTAAATACAACCGCATTCACTTTTACAATCGTGAATACGGCCATATTTATATTTACAGCCATGAATACGTATCTTCTGTATGCATATTACTTTTTATGACCATAAACATAAATTTATTCATATTTATATTTTTGAATATAAATATGCCCATCACTGCCTGATACCAAGCCCTGTTGAAGACCTAAAAAATGGGTCGAAACGTTGGCGTAACAAACAAAATACTATTTTAACAATTTAGTATTTATTTGATCGCACTCCCTGACCAACTCCTCATAAAATGTAAACCAAATGGACAGATGTTTTGCTTTTTTTCTGAATACTTTTCTTTAGCATTATCGACTGTCTTGAAAATGATTATAATTATTTTATTGTTCTGCAATGATATGGCTTTTTTTTTTTTAAGTGTTGGCTTGGAGATTGAACATATGGTAATTTAGATTACAGTGACCTTTATGGATTGCTGTAAGCTTTTTAAGAGCTGCTCTCTCCGTATTCAGTTGCAGTTTGCTTCTTTTTTCACATGGACCTTTAAGGAACAGCTTCAAATGTCGCTGTTTCTTCTCAGTCCAGTAATTATTAAATTTGTTCCCATAAATCTTCCTGATCCTACTTTTGGCAGTGCTAAGGCTGATTCCGCAAACTGGCTCGGGAGTTACGGGAATGGTATCTGAGCCCATCGTTGCCTACTATGCCCGAGTGACCGGGCACCCACTCCACTGCAACTCTATTGTGCTCAGTTAGTTTGTTAAGTGCTGTGTTGCATTCCTTAACAACTTTTGAATATACATAATAATTGTTAATAGCACCTATTGCTGTCTGACTGTCGGTATAGATTGTAATCTTTTTCCCAGTCACATTGCTTCGCAGTAGCTTTTGTGCGCAATGGCAGATTGCCAGTATCTCAGATTGAAACACTAAAGAATATTTGCCAAGTGGTATAGAATTTTTTTCTTTGTTATCTTTACGATAGATGCCTGCTCCTGAGCCGTAGGCTGTTAGAGAGCCATCTATATAACAATTAATACCATTTTTTGGTTTGTGTTGTCTGCTGCTGTCTATCCCAACCTCATATTTACGGTCCTAATATTCCCGGATTAGAGTATCAGAATGCATGGCTAGCACTTCGTCACATCCAATCCTATTCAGCAGTACTGTGTGTCCCCCTTGACAGGGGATTAAAGAACAGCATGTCAACTTGCTTAGCCTGTATAATGTGTTTGTTGCTCGAGCCTCCACCTCCAACTGCAGCAGTGGCATGTTCAACATTACCTCTATAGCAGCCGTCGGTGTTGTGCCCATCGCACCTGTTATCATCATACATGCTAGTCTTTGAATCTTTCCTAATGAGGATGAGTTAACTGTAGTCTTTGCTTTTTACCACCATAGCAAAGCTGAGTAAAGTATGATAGGTCTAACTATCGTTGTGCACAGCTAGTATACCATTTTAGGTTTGAGTCCCCAACTCTTTCCTATCACTCTTTTACATATCGCTCTTTTATGATATGGCTTACTTGCTAACAATTTTTCCCATATTTTATATAAATTATTTGTTGGATCTGGTTGATTGTTGTCAATTGCTTTATTAAGTTTTCTTGTGTTATAGGGGCAAGTTTATTGCGCTTGAGGATACTAGTTGTCGTATTAAGCCTGGGTGTAAAGATCATCCTCCGTGGCCAAAAGGCATTTGCTCCAAGTGCCAACCATCGGCAATAACTCTCAACAGGCAGGTAAGTGCCAGCTATTTGAATTAACAATTCTTTTGCTGTGAAGTATTACAATTATTTCTTTAATGATTGTTATTTTCTTCTTGATTTATTGAGGTTATCATTAATTAATTTTTTAAAATAATATCCTTAAATTTCAACAAGATTTCTGACTTCTTGTTTGCCTAAAATAAGTGATAAGATTAAAGTGCAAACATTTTGGTCTATTACATTATTAAATGAAAATTCAAAATAGTTAGAAAAAAAAAATATATTTTAACCTGAAATAATTTTAATTAAGGATAAATATTCTGTTAATGTTGATTCTAGGTATACAGGCATGTAGACAACGTCATGTTTGAAAATCCTGAAATTGTGGAAAGGTTTCTGGACTACTGGCGAACTTCAGGCCATCAAAGGCTTGGTTACCTTTACGGAAAATATGAAGTTCATGGAGATGTACCACTGGGGATCAGAGCAACAGTTGCAGCAATCTATGAACCACCACAAGTATGTTCATGTCTTACACCGTTGGTTTGATTCTCTATTTTTATCCATACTATTAGTTTATTGCAAAAAGTCATTAAGTGACTTTTCATAAACTTAAGTAATTAACAACTTTGATGAATGTTCCCTTTATGAAATCAGTTTGTGCGACAGTCAGTGGGTCACCGATTTCTACCAAACTTCTTTCGGTGATACTACATTGAAAAATAATTGACACATATCCCGCCGTCCATTCCAATGGCTCCTAGCAGCCGAAAAAACTTTTTATATATAATTCCAAACATAATTATTTATATTTAGTTTTTGTTTGCTTTTCCGGATTTTTATGTTATGTCATCAATTGATTTATTTTTTTGTATAGAGTAAGAAAAAATTATTGACTATTATTAAATGAATTATAATGTATCATAAATTACAAAAACCAAAACTTGTTACCGGTAAAGTAGGCCTGGTAAGTTTTTTTATATAGAAGCAAGCTAGATTCGTTTTAGTGTCCTTAGAAACTTTTAAATTCAAATTTTTATAGAAATCAAATATTGTAAAATTTAATACTTAATTTTTTTAGAGGATTTATTTTTCCAGTCAATAACAAAAGCAATAATAACTTTTCAGGATTTTCTCCAAACTTAATGTTGATACAACCATTGGAAAGCTGAATTACTGCTCTTCCAACCCATATAGGCAACTTTTAGATTTCATTCCTTTTAAAAATAAAAATTTGATCTTCAGTTTTAATTTGTTTACCGAGTAGGTGGCCTTTCGAAGTTTGTGATAACTTTATGTAATGACTCCACCGATCCACACAAAAATTATTAGAGATTCAGGGCTGTATATGCTACATGAAATGGTACAAAACTGATCTCTGTAAAAAAATTTAGAACCAAAAATAAAAATGAATAAGAACTTTTTCCTTAATTTCAACATATCGTATCGGAATGAACATATCGCAAAGGAATGAAATCTATAAGTTATTGATGTTGATTGAAAGAGGGATAATTCAGCTTTCCAATGATTGTACTAATGTTGAATATGGACAAAATACTAAGACGTTATTAATGCTTTCATTATTGATAAAAAAATTCTCTAAGAAAATCAAATATTATATTTTTCATAAATAAAAAAGTTATTTGGCTTACTTTGCTGGAAGCACTTTTTGTTTTTTTGTAGTTGATGGCACTATAACTCATTTAATACAATAGTCAAGTTAGTTTTACTAATACGCTAGTTATGAATCAGTCACATTGTTATCACTCAATTATGCCAACATACGTGGCTCTATTGCCGATTCAATTATCTAGGCTGTCATCCATCCCTGTTCCTATGATGATTATGAGTGGTAGTTGGATTTGAACAGTTTTATTAATAATTAGTAAATGTTTTAATTCGAATTGTTACTTTTCTGCAGTCTTCAAATCGCTGATTTTAGTCACTGATCAAAGTTATTTTATTTTTTACTATTCTTTAGCTGTCAAACATATAATACCTGCTAAGTTGTTTATTAACATTTATAAGTATCTATTTGTTTTCAAAATAAGACTTGCTAGGCCTAGTCTAAAGGCCAAAAAAAAGGTTTCTATTGAAAATATAATTGAGTGGTTCCATCAACATCAACAGACATCTTTCATTTACAAAAAGGGGAGGAAATGTCCAATTTTGTTTTATGGGCATAACTCACACAGTTTCTGATGATTTTATTACATAATGTTCAAGTTGAATCATAAAATAAAGTCATTAGAATTGGATGAAAATTGAAGCTATTCCAAAAAAAAATAAAAAATAGAGGTTCGTCTTTGATATGAAGCCACTCAATTGGATATTGAATAGAAATAGAATGATTTATGGGAATAAAAAATGTGAAAAAATCGCATAAAAAAAAAATTAAATGTATAATAAAATAATTGTTGAAGGAAGTTAGTCGACTGTTCTACATATCATGGGTGATAAATATTCAGGACGCAGTCTTTTTTAAATTTTTTTTTATTTTTGCCAACGTTTCAACCCAAACATGTGGGTCATCTTCAGGGCTTGGTTTGAGCACTGAGGTTGTTCATGTACTGAATGTTCGAGTACATGAACAACCTCAGTGCTCAAACCACGCCCTGAAGATGACCCACATGTTTGGGTTGAAACGTTGGCAAAAATAAAAAAAAAATTTAAAAAAGACTGCGTCCTGAATATTTATCACCCATTATAATAAAATAAATTTAGTTCAATTTTAAATCATAACTATACATATGTAAATTTTAAATTAAAAGATTTTTCTTGAAAAAACAAGTTTTGAGGTAGCAGAAAGTTGCATCGGGGCACAGACCTATAGAACCCATAGAATCTCTTTATAGGTGGGATATTTTTAATCTTTCTAGAGAATCTAATTTTTAATCAGTAAATATTATTTAGTTTGAAATTATACTCCTAAATTATATTCCTTTGAATTGAAATTTTTGTTAAGTTAAGTAAGTAATATAATCTTTAATTTCTTTTGCCAATGTTTTTGGATAATTATTCCGTTACATCACTCTGTTCTTATTCAGGAAACTTCGCGTGATAGAATAACTTTATTGCCTGATGAAAAAGAAGGTTTAGTTGATGAGATAGCCCATGACCTAGGTTTAAAGAAAGTTGGTTGGATATTCACTGATTTAATTGCAGAAGATATGCAGAAAGGAACTGTAAGTACATCAAATTTTTAATAACAATTATTGTTTTATGCTCGTTTCAATTTTTGAAAATTAGATCTGCTTATTGCCTGTTCATGTTTCTTAATAATTTTTAGTGATCTGCAAATAAGAATTGTCTGTACAATTCACAGGATATATTTATATGCATACCACCTATTGATAAACATTGCTTTGGCAGATTATAAAATCAATTTGAAACTTAATTGCTGTATTTTCATGTTTTATTGCACGTGGTATTAATCAATAAAGTAACATTTGCTGTTTATGACACTGATAAGTCATAAGATACACCCATGAGTGGTTGAATGATAATCCCAATGCCATAGTTTATTCTTTATATTTTTTAAAAATTACATTTTTAAGCGATTTCATTCAACTATTTCATTTAAGTAATTCCTTATATTCAGCATTTATTGTTTCACCAACTGATCAAGTAAAAGCTTCTTGAAAGGCTCACGAACAAAGGCCCTTGGTATTGATGGTTCAACAGCTGAATTATTCTAATATAGTGGTTAAAAACTAGTCAAAGCATTGAACAATTTAATAATGAGTATCTGGCCGGAAGAAAAGATACCACATTAATGACATAAATCCATTTAATGTCCCATTCATAAAAAGGGGATCAACTGGAATAATCAACTTATAGAGATATCTCACTTTTCTCTGTGGCTTGTAAAATTCTCCAATATTTTATATCAAATACTACTCTCCTACACCAAGTAGATTCTTGGTTGATGTCAATGTGAATACTCACCTGAAAATATTTCTATTAATTGAGTATTAATTTAATCATCCTTTGATAGATCCCCAAAAAAGGCCAGGAATATCAATTCACTACCCATCATCTATTCTTAGATTTTAAGATTGGTTTATGGTGTTTTTTATGATGGTATTAAGAGGTGAGTTGTACTTCGTTGTGGGAATTTGGTAGTATTCTAAGGAAACATTTTGAATTGCGCTGTGTCACAACGAAAAAATGGGCTCAAAAAGAATATTTCCAAAAATTTAAATCAGAGGTAGAGGGTGAGGTGTGGTGGGTAGGTACTCTAGCCTGTCTTTTATTTAATTTTGAGCCAAAGTGAGCTGTGAGGAATTTGGACTTCTGACATTCTGAACAGAACCATTCAATTCATGCATATGCTGATGGATGACCTTGACATAATTAGAAGGCTCTAAAGGATGATAGAATAAGCATTCTTAGAACTATAATGGACAGAAAAGAAAATTGAACTCATCTTAAAACCATACAAGACAAAGTAGTACATTTATGGTTTTATACGAGAAACATGATATTGTAAAGTATTCTTATTGGGATAAACAGGAGCTGAAAATTCTCTTCTAATGCCTCTTACATCTGCAATATCCATGAGGGGAACCTGCTTTCTGACAAGCAGAGAGCCCTCTCTTAATATGGGCATCTCTTCGAGAGACCTTTGGAACTCTGTAAGGAATTAGGGAGAGAAGACAAGGACCGCAGGGCGATTGAAAAAGATGAAGAGCAACTAATTAAAATGGAACTAATCTCCGGGTGCTGATGAACTGCCTGCAGAACTCATCAGGTGCGGTGGGAACGAACTGGTAAAAGATATGCAGGATCTCCTCATCACAGTTTAGACGGATGAAGTTCTTCCTGCCCCATGAACTAAGTCACTCATCTGTCTTATATTTAAGAGAAACGTCGACTAACTGCTCCAACTACAGAGGGATCTGCTGGATACAAGGTCCTCTCAAACATCGTCTTCAAGTGTTTGCTGCCCCATGCAAAGAGGATACTCGGCTGGTTCCAGTAAGGATTCAGAAAAGGCAGATCTAGGACTGATATTCTGTCTATATATTCTGCCTCAGGATGATCCTGGAGCGAGGAACAGAATGCAAGATTAAAACTCAGCACCTCTTTGTTGATTTTAGGGCAGTTTATGATAGCATGAATAGGGAAGAATTGTATCAGGTTCTAAAGCATTTTAAGATCCTTTTGTTTTTTGTTTTTCTGTTTTTTTTTTCCACCCTCCCATGTCATTATGGCAGTACAGGTGTTTGCAGTAGTGTGTTGTGCAATGCTTAACATTGAACCGCAATTATAACATCATACAATATTGAAGACTTTGCACACAGCTAGCTCATTTACATTTTTCTTATCTTTTTTCCTTCTTCATTATTTAAATAAGAACAGGCGTAAGCCTGCCTTCCAGAATCCGGAGGTCTTCCTGGCACTGGCCCTCTTCTCCTGCAGATCTCTAGGGTGAATTGAGCTGAACCAACCACCGTCTTCCAACCATTTATGAAGTCTTTGAACCATGAGAAGTTTTCCTTACTCACCAACCAAGGAAACTCCTCCTTGGTGAGAATGTAAATTATTGTGATAATTGCTAATTGGTTGACTGTCGTGGATAATGAAGAGAAGAATAGTTGGGGTGGTCAGTCAAAAAAAAAGGCAAAAATAAATGATAATATTTATTTTTACATATGCCGACGTTTCGACCTGAAGTTCAGGCCTTCATCAGGGCTAAGAAAATAACCAGATAACAAGGTATGAGAAACATAAGTAGTGATGGTAAAAAAAAAAAATAAAATAAAAAATAAAAAATAAAAAATAAATATAAAGTAAAATGAAATTGTTAGAATAATGACTAAGAACTAAGAGATAAATAATAATAACCGTTACAAAGTGTGGAATGATGAAGTAGGCATAATCAAAAAGGGTGACATAAGTGTTACAATGGGAATCTTAGAATAAAATGTAAAACATAAAAAAGAAATATGAAGTTATATAAGAAATGAAAATAAATAGTAAAATTAAGACATTGAGAATGGAGTAGTTAGATAGAAAATTGAGATATTGTAAAGTCTATCAAGATGTACAGACAATGTATAATATAATAAAGAGTTAAAAACAGAGAAAAGGAATGAAAGGAAGGAGGGAAGAAATTGAGAAAGCTGAAATAAGAAAGAAATAAAAGAAGTACTACCTGTCTCCTTAAGTGTTGCAGGGAGAATAAAAGTCGTTGCAAGGGAGGGGGAGAGAGAAGAGATGTGTAGGTGGCGTCATCTCTAACGGTTATCCGACGAAGTTTGAACTAAAGCGCTGGAAGCGTAAATAGGTACGAGAGATATATTACTCAGAAAAATTATGGAAAATTGAACGAAAGTTAATAGAAAGTGGATGAAAAATTCAAAAGAAAAATAACTGTGGAGTAATAAGGGAGAATAATTGAAATAAAAATATATCATATATATATATATATATATATATATATATATATATATATATATATATATATATATATATATATATATATAGCATTTCCAAGTCAATTTCAACCTTTTCCAAATCAAATTCAACCTTTTCCAAGTCAAATTAAACCTTTTCCATTTCAAATTCAACCTTTTCCAAGTCAAATTCAACCTTTTCCATTTCAAATTCAACTTTCGAATTTTTGTCAATTTTCGATTTTTTTCGAAATGAAGGCCACTTACTATATTAACGAAGGTATAGCTTTTGAAAAATACAAAAAAAATTTTGATAACGCGGTTGCATATCCATTTATTTTAACATTTTAGATTTTTTCAGTGTGATATTTCTATGTCATTTCCAAGTCAAATTCAACCTTTTCCAAGTCAAATTCAACCTTTTCCAGATCAAATTAAACTTTTTCCAAGTCAAATTCAACCATTTCCATTTCAAATTAAACCTTTTCCAATTCAAATTCAACCGTTTTCATTTCAAATTAATGTTTTAATTTTTTGTAAATCTTATATATTTTTTTAAAAATAATGGCCCCCCCTCCAATATGAAAGTCTATTATTATGCTCTTCTAAGTAGAATTTTCACTTACGGATATCGATTTATTGTACCTATTCGGATTTATTAGGGACTAGTATTATGCTGTCCTGTACCTAGTTTTGAAAATAACCCCCATTTTAAGATTAAGTGACTGCGTTTCGAATCATTTAAGTTTTTTTGACTTATTCGATATAAGGATGTATTTTTATGTTTCCCGATCAGTAAATTTTGAAAATGACATCCATTTTATGTTTACGCCACTGTGTTTTGACTTTAAGTTTTCAGAATTTATCCAATATAAAGGTCTACTTTTTTGTTTCTGGAGCCGTAGATTTTGAAAACGAGCTCCATTTTAAGATTAGGCCACCGCGTTTCGACTTATTTGAGTTTTTCGGATATTTTTCATATGAGGGTGTATTTTTATGTTTCCGGAGCTGTAGATTTTGAAAATGACCTCCATTTTAAGATTAGGCCACCGCGTTTCGACTTATTTGAGTTTTTCGGATTTTTTTCATATGAGGGTGTATTCTTATGTTTCCGGAGCCGTAGATTTTGAAAACGACCTCCATTTTAAGATTAGGCCACCGCATTTCGATTTCTTTAAGTGTTTCGAATTTTTATCATAAAAGAGTGTATTCTTATGTTTCCGGAGTCGTAGATTTTGAAAATGACCTCCATTTTAAGATTACGCCACTGCGTTTCGGCTTATTCAAGTTTTTCGAATTTATCCAATTTAAAGGTCTACTTTTATGATGCCGGAGCCTTAGTTTTTAAAACGACTTACATTTTAAGATTAGGCCACTGTGTTTCGGTTTTTTTAAGTGTTTTTGATTTTTCCTTCGAATAAAAAACAAAATACGAAGGATTAATTTATTTTTCAATAAATAAATAAAAATATCTAATCAAAATAAATAAAATATGTATTGTCTCATTTTTAATTTAATTTTAGTTATCTTTTTTAATGTTGTGGTCTCCTGTCACAAAATTATAAGATTTCGAACAATTAGCTGAAAAATCTGAATACGGAAGGTTAAATTTATTACCAGCTGCTTTTCGGCTTTTTAGTTTGTATTCTGTGGTTAATTTAACTTTAGCTTCATAATATTTATTTATTTATTCATACTCGAAAACATATTGATGAAACTTTGTATTGTAAAAATCCAAAATGAAGCCTAATTATTCGAGATGCAGCGGCTTAATCATAAAATGG